AAATAGTTAAGTGACTGGACGATAACATTACAAGAAACCCCGTAAATTATACACCGTACACCCGGTTGTACGGTGATCACCGTACACCCGGTTGTACGGTGATCACCGTACAACCGGGTATTTTTGAAATTAATTACGACTTCCATATTTTGCTGCTCGCTGGTGTCCTATGATCGTGGGATTGGTGACAGAGGCGCAGATCAATGCTTGCTGAAGTCCAGGAATTCCAATCGATGTCTGTGGCTGCTGCTTGCTCGTTGCGCGAATGAAGGAACGAAGATTAGGTAAAGTCTGCTCCGTATGTTGTAGCTTGTGGGCTTCTATCGAAGGAAAAGTCTGCTACGTATTTTAGTTCTTTGAATCCTCAAAGTTCAACTTGTTTTTTAATATTGTATTTAAATATTGTATTTTGATATTATATTTTAATATTGTTTGTTAATATTTTTAGCTTATTTGTTATTAACATAAGTTTTATGTTACTTCGTATATTGAAAATGAGTAATAAGTTTTATGTTACTTCGTATATTGAAAATGAGTACAATGTTTATAATAAATGTGCATAACGATAAAATGAGTTTATGATTTATTCAAATGAGTATGATGATTATAAGAAATGAGCATACTATACACAAATGGATATTTATACACATTAGAGAATTCAAGTGAGCTTTTGAATTTTTTAATATTCATTTTGTAGATTATGTATGCTCTTCTGGTACTGGTGTTATATTTATTTTAAAATGTTATATCAATGCATATTTCAAGAGTACAATATTACATTAGATTCGAGTGTGAGTTGATCATACCATGATACTCAATTGCATGATTTTAATACTCAATAAAGAAAGTTTGATGTTCAAACTTCCTTTAGCTAATTCATATAGAGTGTCGTAGTACGTGTTGATTGAATTGGAATTGAAAATTCAGTCAACCCACTAAGAAATAGGTCCACAACTTACTCCGTTTCATTTTAAAAAAGAAATGAGGAGATGAATATTTGAGTATATTAAAAATTTCAAATCAATTTTAAATTTTTCGATACTCATTTTGTAAGTTATTTATGCTCATTTGTTACTAGTTTTGTTCTCATTTTAAAATGTTATATGAATGTATATTTTAAGAGTATCATACTACATTAGATTTACATAAGAATTGATTATAGATACGAGAGCACATACAATCATACTCAATTTCTTGTTTCTATTACTCATAGTGGAAGTTTGATGCTCAATGAAAAAGTCTTGATGCTCAACTAAAAATACTTATAATTTTCATTTCAATGCTCATTTTGTAAATTACGTTTGCTCAATTGGTACTCATGTTATGCTCATTTTTAAAATGTCATAACAATAACAATGCATATTTCAAAAGTATCATATTACATTAGATGCACATATTGAAATTCATAGGAATTGATTATAGATATAATTTAATGAGTTTTTGTGAAAGAAAAATAAGAAAAAGAAAGTGAATTACAATATTTGAAGTCGATATCACAACACTTCATTATTCGACTCTTAATGCTCAGTAGAATATGTCTGATGCTCATTAAAAGTGTATTAATATTCATCTAACGAAAATCTCGATTTCCACTAAAATTATGAAATTCCACCATTTCTTAGTTGTGATATCAGTTTTCTTGTAATAACATGGTGCTCATTATTAGAGATTTAATACTCATTAAATTTGGACAATTGCTCATTAACCGTACACTAATGCTCATTTAGCAGAAACCGCAATTTCCACAATATTTACAAAAATGCCACCGAATTATTTTGCTATTTTTCACTTGGGCCTGTTACTGGGCCGGTTGTACGGTGCTCACCGTACAACCGGTTGTATAGTATACGAATTGAACTCCAAGAAACCCTCCAATGCACAAAATGATATGCCGTTTCCTATTTGAGTGCTTTGGATAAAGAAAAGCGAAAAAACAGACCCACGATGGCAAAATACCAGATGCACGTTCTACTTTTTTTTTTTAATTATTCATGCATTTTTTGTCAAGTTTGTCTAGTCAGCATGTTTAGATTGGTATTTATACTCGAAAGTTTCCCGTGATAGTGTTCAGCGGTTATTCTGTCAAGTCATCAAAAGTAAATAGAAGACTAACTGCATTGGAAGAGAAATTAAATACAGAATGTCTAATTTGTTGAGGTGGCTCATTTTTTAGAGATGCTCCAAGGCGTTACAACTGCCATGACTTTAGAAGCGCAGTTGGAAGCACAGTTAGAAGCGCAGTTATCTTCAAGAATTCATTTGAATGCCTTCCTGATTGAAGTTTTAGCTGAAATTTGGTATGAGCAAACTAGACGTGATGAATAAGATGCTCAAAAAATTTCATTAAAAAATTCTACCGGGAACCATCCCAAATGACGACGGCCGGACAGAACTTCCTAAATAAGGGCTTATTTGACCTTTTTTGGTTAGTACATGGGCCTATTTGCACCCTTTTCCTATGTATCTATTATAAGTGTTAATTATAAAGCATTTACAAATGATATTATTATTTTTCATAGAGAAATCAAAAATAAAAAATAACAGATATTAAAAGTTTAATTAGTACACAAATTACAAATTGTTGAAGACCTTGTAGACAACTTCTTTTGTACTCCCTCCATTCCGCTACTATGGTTTTATTTTACCTTTTCGGAAGATTCTACAAAAATTGTCTTATACCATATTTGGTAAAGTTTTTGTGGCTCTAAATTATTCTTATTTTTTTCTTACTTTATCAATTAATATCAATCACATAAACTCAATTTTCTTAATAATCGTGTCACCCCTTCCGTCCTAATATTAGTGGGATAGAGGTAGTAGTTTTTCAAATTGCTTTGTTCATCACATATTACGAACTTTAAGTCAAACAGTATTGTCACATTCGAACGTAACGAAACATACAACTGTGTATACGTAAAAAGAGGACGCGAGAAAAACCCTGACGATTTCCTAGGGTTACCTTTAAGTGTTGCGTTTTTGCGGGAAAAATGTCACCTTACGAAAACAAATTACTCCGTATTTTTTAACCAAAATTGCATATCACAAACGGAAGTGGAATCAATGATGCCTTTAAAAAATACTCCGTACCATATTTAATTTCAAATTTTGCATTTTAAATTTCACAACCAAAAGATAGAAGCTCTTAAAAAATCATACATATAAAAAGTTTAATACAAAAATATAATGTGCTTTTCTGAATGAAATTACAAACCATACAAAATATTGAAAAATACAATTTCTTACCTTTGTAAAAATAAATACATGGACTTTTTAATTGACATGCCGTCAGTCATTAATTATAGGGTAATACATTGCTTATAGTGGTGACAAAGATAAATTTATACATTGCTTAAGATTTAGGAGTCTTAGGACCCATATACTCAGAATACAATGCAACGATAATGATGAATATAATGCAAAATTGAAAAATCATGTTCAAATCATAGGTAAACGTAAACAGAATGTAAACTATTAATATTACCTATAAAGAAGTAAACTTATAGCTTAAATAATTAGATAGATTCAGGGGCGGAGCCAGGAATTCATTAAAAGGGGGGCCGGAAAGAAATAGATTACTCTCTAATCATACAAATAGACATATAAGATAGAATTTATTCCATGTCAAAGTTAATTTATTAGATCGCAGTCCAAACAAACGGCGTCACGCCATGAGGACTAGATCGCACGCAGTCCAAACAATTTCCCTGGATCTAAAATCTTTTTACTTTATTTTTTCTGTTCTGTTGTGTTTTTTCCTTCTGTATTGTTCTTCTTTCGTTTGTACTTTTTCTTTATATGAATAAAACCCTCTCTTTTCCAAAAAAAAGTTAATTTATTAGATTTCATCCAATTTTCTTCCCCACATATTTATAGTTCCAGTGCACACTATTTCCGCTTATATATTCCGAGCTTAAAACAAAGCCTTATAGATCTGAGCCTTTTCATGTACTTAAAAAAAATCAATGTAGTAAATTTAAGATTACATATTATCAATAATAATTAATACTATTTTTCAATTTAATGTAATAGAATATCTCAATATAATAAATATATTAACATATAACTACTCCAATATGATAATAGAACTAGTTCGGTTACTAGTTCAAATTAAGTGTTGTTAGACTCTTAGGAAATTTTAACTCCAATTCAAGTTAATGCTTCATGCCTATCAAACTTCATCTAAATTTGCTTTAAATGATAGGATGTCATTATCTTGCTCACAACTCTATTTTTCAGTTGAGACATACTTTAATTATCTATAAAAGCCTTACTAATAGTATAAAAAATTCAAAAAAATGGGAGGGGCCATGGCCCCCCTACACTAATGCATAGCTCCGTCCCTGGATAGATTCATTGTACACGGATGATCCCGCGACGTGTTTTTTTTCAAAGCACTACGTTACTAAGTTCATTATTCAACCGCGAGTGTGAAAAATCATGTAGAGAGAGGTGGATGTCTTTCAATATAGCAGGCAACTAAAGGAACCATTTGTTCCTTCTCTATCATCTAAGGGGGCGTTTGTTTTTTTACACATTAAAACTTTGCATGCAAACTGAATGCATGTAAAGTGTAGGGAAGCAATCAGTTCGCGTGCAAAATATGAATACATTGTTTGGTTAGACGTGCATTTTAATTTTAAATCACGCGCAAAACTTTCACATTGTTTGGTTGAAAAATATAACTTTACCTGCGATGTGTAACACAAATGTCTAAAGTGCCCCTGTTTTATAAAACAATCGGACACATACTGTACCAACAGTCCAACACTATGACTTGTGAAGCAACAATGAAAAACCACTGAGATGACCTCCAGTGCCATTTACATGTTGACCTGAATAAATCATTGGCTTTTGAGAGCTGCTAAAGCAGATTCCAAAAGTCAAAAGATAGCAGACCGTGGATAGTAGTAATCCATGCATAGAAATTAGTTGGTCTTCATTAATCATTTTATAAATGAAAACAAAGATGAAAAATATGAAAGCTACTGATAACACCGAAAAGCAGAAAGTGGATAGCTTTGATTTAATGATTTTGTAAACTTCGAATAGCAGTTTACTGCTTTATTCAACCAAATATGAAATTGCTTAGAAATAAAACAAATCCTAGACAAATTCAAAAACATCATTACAGAATATGCTATTATCATATTTCACCATTTAGGGTAGCGTTAATGTAAATCAATTTCGCCTCCTCGTCTGGCATCAATAAGAATGAATCTGTTTTTCCTTTACTAGCTGATATGATTCCAAATGCTCTAATCGCATTCTCCTTGCTTAAATTTGGTATATTCATTATCATGTCTAGAATATGTGGCTTGCTATCATCAGCTGCATTAAAACGATCAAAGAAAGTTGACATCTTCTCAAACTGCTTGTTTGATGTAGCACATAATTCCATAATTCTTTCCATTTTTTGTTGAAAGTCTTCAGCATGTTTATCAAAAGAGCCGCTCTTCTTGGATTTTTTTGACCCACTAAATTCCTCCTTGATTGGAACACTAGTAGCCCGTTTCTTGTTTTTATTGATGTCAGGCGTAGAAAAAATATGATCATTCATACTTTCAAGATCGACAGCCACACCAAAAAAGTCATCTTGAACAGCCTTTTTCGACATGGACCCTCCAGTCAAAGCATCACTTCCCTTTCCTAAAGCTGTCACCATTTCAGCAGGAGACTCACACTTATCCCCAGATGCCCATTCATTACCGAATATCATTGCTAGCTCATCAAAATAAGGGAATGATTTATATCTCAAATGAGTAGCATCTTTATGGCTCTGCAACAGTTATAATAATAATAGTAATAAAACGAGTAAAATCTTACATGCAAAATATAATAACAATCAAATATGGACAGTAAAATGATATTACCTTGATCCATGATGTCCAAACCTCATCATCACAAGTCACCATTTTCCTTTCTTCATTCCAACCAAAACCCGAAGCATCTCTCATCATTGAAAATTCTTTGTATTGCATTTTCAAGTGTCTTAACCTATTCTTTATATGTGGATCTCCAGTAATATGACAACCGGGGATTTTTGCAGACATCCATTTTTGCAATTGTTGATAAAATCCCGTTTTGAATCCATTTTCAGCTTTCCACCCTTGGTTGATGAATTCTAGGCAACCATCAATAAGAATTATGTCCTCATGAGGAGACCATTGATGATTGCTACGCTTGCTCACCTTTGTACTTGAGATAACAGTACATTCTTCCATGGTAAAGTGCCCACCTTTTATGGACAAATAATTAAAAAAATCAAGATGGACAAGAAAAACTACATGAACATACCATGTGTATGATTGGCAGTTTATATAAAATGGGTATAATAGGTTGGTCAACATGTCAATACACTTGAATAATATAATTAAATGCCAAACACAACTATTGAAATAGTAATAAAAACGTCCATTACAGATAAATAACTAGTAACGAAATAATAACAATGCATAAATCCAGTAAGTTCAAACTTAATTCCTACGGCACTCATTCCAAATTTCTTGTGCTAAATTATCTCTAAATGCAGTCCATGCAGCGGAAGGTTCAATATCTTGTATGTTTGGGACATTTAACAAAGTGTCAGGATCAACATAATCTTCGGGCACCTTATCTTCAAGTGGATCCTTTCGCATCTCCCTTCTTATACGATTGTGCAGTAAAGCACAAGCCGTTATCACTCTACAATGCGTCTTGATAGGATACCAAGATCTTTCACGAAGAATCGCCCATCTCATTTTAAGTAACCCGAATGATCTCTCAATGACATTACGTGCGCTAGAATGTTTGTAATTAATCATTTCCTCTTTTGTTCTAGGTTGATTGTTTTGACTCCATTCTTTTAAGTGGTAGCGCTGGCCTCTATACGGAGCCAAGAAACCATCTGCATTACTGTATCCAGCATCACAGAGATAGTAGTAACCTAGAGTAATATTTTATGGTTAGAAGTTATCTGGATTTGAAAATATAACTAAGAGAGACTACAAGTATTATTTACTTCCCACTATTAATACCTTGAGGAACTACAAAACCATTGGATCTGGAAACTGCACTTCTTAAAACCCTTGCATCAGCAGCGGACCCTTCCCAACCAGGTAGTATGTAAATAAAATTTAAATCTTGAGAGCAAACTCCCAATACATTTGTGGCCAAATCACCTTTCCTTGTTCTATATTTGGGTTTGTCTTGCTCTGCAACATTTAACTTAATATACGTTCTATCTAATGCACCTAAACAGTTCTACATTTTTACAATCAAACAATGATTTTGTTAGTAATTAACTTATAACTTATATTCATATTTGAGTTAGTTTTAAGGAAATTATTTACAGTTTATTACCTTAAACCACTTCCATGGGTGTGCTCTGCAGTTTTGAGGTACTGGTTCGGGCTTCTTAAGCAAAACTTCGTGTAATCTTAAGATAGCAAGTAAAACACTGTTAAAGTGTCTGCTAATTGTTTCACCGCTGCGCACAAATTCTCTCTTGGCTACTCTATTTTTAGTATGGTGAGCCAAAATATAGAGAAATGAAGCAAGCATTTCTTCAATAGGCGTATTCCTTGTTGGCCGCAGCAAACCAATGCTTTCAACCATATTACAGAGCTTGTAAAAAGCTCTCCTATCCATCCTAATGCTATCCACACATTCTATATCATCATCCCAAATCATACTTCTAATATTTAGGCATCTTATTTGGTATCTCTCATAAGCATTTCCCTTTTGACTTCTCTTCCTCTTCCTTCGAACAAAATTAGTCGCATAGTACTCCAATATCGCAACTAAGACAGCTAATATGTTTTTAAAATGTAACATGACAGAATAAGCCGCCATGTACATTGTTAATTCCTCCTGTGAGGGGCTGTCCATTTTTCACACTAACCAGAGAAAGTAAATGAGATTACTACTTTAATGATATAAGTGCCAATATTCATGATTAAAAACCATATATATCATGTAAGTAAACCCATTATGGTTAGTATTCATGGAACTCAAATGCTTAAAAATTGAATTGAATTGTATACTAATGCACGTGTTTCAGTAAAAAAATAAATTAGCAATGGTGTTAGTAACATCAGATTGGAAAGGAATAGAAAAACAGTAGAATAGAAATATTACAATTGATTTAGCAAAAGCCACCAGAGAGCAAAATCTACCAAAAACCCAAGCCAGCTAAAGTTTTCCTAAAAACAATTTATATAAAATCATAACTATACCCAAACATACGAAAATCATAACTATACCCAAACAATTTATATAAAAGCCATCAGAAAGCTGACTTTAGAACCCCATGTTTGTTAGATTTTTATGCTACTTCCAAACATACGAGAGAAATTGCAATTTGTGATGGTAATAGAAATTATATAACCCTAGCCAAATTTAAATAAAGGATTGATATGGAAATTGTATGTTAAGTTGATAACAACTCTAGATGCAAGGAAATACAGTCAATCGTGTGCCAATTTAATCATTAGGTCACTAAAATTTTGACTGCAAATAAACACGTCTTAAACAATAAAAAGACTAAACTTTTTACCTGGCTTGAGAGGAGACGTGCTTATACTTGCTGCGGAAAGATGGAATTCGTGAGAGCAGATCTGTTCTACTTATACTTGCTGCCGAAGAAGGAAGTACCGCCAATTCGATATTCTTTTTTATTTATGCCGCCAAAGATAGGAGGGCTAGAAATGTAAACTGCAAACGAACGTGTTTTACGATAGAGGTGTAAACTATTTTACCACCCTCCCCCCACGTAAAATAGTTTACACGGTACAGTGTAAAATGTTTAAAAAAAGTGCCCTACAGATTACATTAAAAAATTAAACCAAACGGTGTAAATAGTTTACTTCCCTAAACTTTGCATGCAAACTAATTACTTTACACCTTAACAAACGCCCCCTAAAACAAAACATTCCACTATCATATAATTATATGCAATGTTAGATTAAATTCCAAGATCGGCATCATATAATTATACATAAACATATACTGATAGATCTGAGATTTAGGAATACCTGGATCCATGATAGATGAATGAAGTGGAATAAATCCCTTATCCCATCTGGCCTCTTTCCTTATGAGATTCTTGACAGGTAGAGATATCTCATTAATATTGTGTTGTTATTCCATATGAAATAAGCGTATATATAGAGGCAGATGAGAGGGTTGGGGAACCCTAGTCCTAGACAGACTTAAACATAGGTTCAGCCTATCATTAAACCAATTAAATGTCTAGAACTATACGAACTCTATTAATAACATATAACCCCAAATACATGACCAATATTAGAATATTAATAATTAAATAAATATTCTAACATTCTCCCACTTGGTCATGTGATCCTTGATGAATTGATGAAAACTTAAATTGCGCAATATTCATCAAACCAAACTCACCAAGAAAACTTAACTGAATTTCAAATTGAATGGATCATGGCGGTTACACATCATTTATACTGACATGCTTCCTTCCATGTATCACAAGACAATTCTAATTCATCCGAAACATTTGAGAAATTTGAAAGTCTCAAATCTTAAATTTGAGGGATGCTTAAATCCTCAACACTCGTTATCACCACAAATAATATTATGTGATCACAATCAAAATAGATAACAAGTAAACCAGAAACATAACCTTTATTGAATTCAAATGAGTGTCTAAACATTGATATATAAAAATGAGCTAACATAAATCACTGACAAAATTATCATAGCAAGGCTTTATCAACAACACTCATATTAATTACATGATTATTTAAAATCTTGGGTGACAATCCTTTAATCAGCGGATCCACAACCATTTGTTCAGTGCCAATATGCTCAATAAACACTCTATGTTTCTGAACCTCTTCCTTTACTGATAAGTACTTCAAATCGATGTGCTTAGCACCTTTAGTGTACCTATCATTCTTCGTGAAGAAGACTGCTGCGGAATTATCACAATAAATTTTCAGCGGCTTAGTTATACTGTCGACAATTCTAAGTCCTGAAACAAAGTTCCGCAACCACAAACCATGAACAGTGGCCTCAAAGCATGCCACAAATTCAGCCTCCATAGTGGAAGTAGCAATAATTGTTTGTTTACCGCTCTTCCAAGATACTGCTCCTTCAGCCAATATGAACAGATAACCAGATGTTGACTTTCTACTATCGACACATCCAACAAAGTCTGAATTTGAATATCCAATCACCTCAAGCTGATCGGATCTCTTAAATGTAAGCATGTGATCTTTGGTGCCTTGCAAGTACCTCAAAACTTTCTTTGCAACTTTCCAGTGGTCCATTCCGGGACGAGTACAAGTCTGAACATATCCCAAACATCCAACCACTAACGCATAGGGAATTCTATCCATCTCCTTACGTTCCAATTCATTTTTAGGACATTGTAATAAACTGAACTTGTCTCCCTTCTGAATTGGAACCACACCTGGAGAGCATTTGTCCATATTAAATCTTTCTAAGATCTGATTGATGTAGTTCCTCTGAAACATATCCAAAATTCCTTGTGAACGGTTTCGAAATATTTCAATTCCAATCACATAGGATGCCTCGCCCATATCTTTCATCTCAAAGTTCTTAGAAAGGAACTTCTTAACATCATGCATCATGGACATGTCATTCGCAGCAAGCAAGATATCATCAACACTGACCTTCATATAGATGCACCGATCAACGACGTTCTCTATAAAACCAAAAGAACAAATGGTATTATGAAACTTAAGATACCATTGTCGGGAAGCTTGTTTTAGTCCATATATTGACTTTTGTAGCTTACACACAAGATTTTCCTTACCAGTGCTCAAAAATCCTTCTGGTTGATCCATATACACTTCTTCCTCTAAGTCTCCGTTCAGAAAGGTGGTTTTCACGTCCATTTGGTGAAGCTCCAAATCAAAATGAGCCACCAAAGCCATGACAACCCTCAAGGAGTCCTTCTTTGAAACTGGAGAGAAGGTCTCCTTGTAATCAATGCCATGTTTCTGAGTAAATCCCTTAGCAACAAGTCTGACCTTATACCTTTCGATGTTTCCATTAGAGTCACGTTTGGTCTTAAAAACCCACTTACATCCAACTCTTTTGGATCCATCGGGCAACATAACTAATTCCCAGACTTTATTGTCATACATGGATTTAAGCTCTTCATTCATGGCATCAATCCACTTATATGAGTTTATACTATCCATGGCTTCCTTAAATGAGACTGGATCCTCACCAATGCTCAAGTCACACTCATGCTCAATAGAATATAGTAAATAGTCATTTGGAATAGCAGATCGTTTTTCCCTAGATGACCTTCTTAACGTTATTCCTTCTGAAGAATTATCATTTTCTTGAGTGATGATATGTTCATTTGAAGTGGTCACAACATGCTCATTAGTATCTTGTTCACCAACTACACCTTCATTCTGATCATTAGTGATTGCGTCACTAACCATATACTCAGGTCGTTCGTTGTTGTTTGAGATACTATTGATGCGTCCAACATGTGGGAACATGGCATTATCTTTTTGTTCTTGAATGACCACATTTCTTGGTTCACCACTCCCACTTACTTGACCATTTTCAATGAACCGAGCATTGCCTGTCTCTACAATTCTCGTACTATGATTAGGGCAATAAAACTTAAATCCCTTCGACTTTTCAGGATAGCCAATGAAAAATCCACTAACTGTCCTCAGATCAAGTTTCCTTTCATGCGGATTGTATACTCTTACTTCTGCAGGACACCCCCAAATATGGAGATGTCTCAAACTAGGTTTCCTACCTGTCCACAGTTCATAAGGGGTCTTATGAACTGCCTTACTAGGAACCCGGTTTAACAGATATGTAGCAGTCCTTAATGCATACATCCACAACGAAGGGGGTAAGGTAGAATAACTTAACATGCTCCTAACCATTTCAATAAACGTACGATTCCGCCTCTCAGCTACATCATTTTGTTGTGGTGTACCCGGCATTGTGTATTAAGCACAAATGCCTCGACTTTCAAGGAATTTAGCGTATGGACCTGGACATTGTCCATATTCATTGGATTTCCCATAATACTCACCACCTCTATCAGACCTCACAACCTTAACTTTCTTCTCTAGCTGCCTTTCCACCTCGTTGACGAACACCGCTAGGATGTCTGCCGACTGGGCCTTATCATGCAGCAGATAAATGTAACCATAACGTGAGTAGTCATCTATAAAGGTGATAAAGTACTTTTCTCCACCCCAAGAAGGAACATCAAAAGGACCACAAATATCAGTGTGTATAAGCTCTAACAATTGAGTGCTTCTTGTGGACGCCTTCTTTACTGTGTGTTTGGTTTGCTTTCCTTTAATGCAATCAACACACACATCCCAGTCACTAAAATCCAATTGAGGTAAAATTTCATTCTTAACTAACCTCATTAGCCTATCCTTGGAAATATGACCAAGACGTTGGTGCCACAAGAAAGCTGAGTCCTCATCTAGTGCACTACGCTTAACTCCCACATTATTTTCAACATAAAATAGAGATTCACTAAATTTCAAATCAAGATTAAAACGACACAGGGAATCAACCAACATACCAGATCCATAAATAAAATTATCCTTAAATAATGAAAAGGTATTGTTCCCAAACTTGATATGAAATCCTAAAACATCCAACCTACTAACTGAAACAAGATTTCTAGCACAATCAGGCACATAGACAATTATCTAGATCTAAAGGACATCCAGTGTCTAAGATCAACCTATATGTTCCTATGCCTTGGATGTGTGCTTTCATCCTATTCCCCATAAATAGAAATTGTTCATTTCCCCTTATTGATTGGATGGACTTAAATCCCTTCATAATGTGAGAAACATGAGTAGAAGCACCCGAATCTAACCACCACGTGTTATTAGGAACTTCTATGAGATTTGATTCGAAACACACGAAACCTAAATGTGTATCAATCTTGCTTGACTTGATATCTAACATGAATTCCCTAATTAAATCGTTCGTGGACGATAAGAGATTTAACGAAGCTGCAACAATATACATGCTTACTATTAATGCTTTGAATTAACTAATACAAATTCATTCTCAGAAAACTTAAACATATATGCTTAAATTCACCTTTGTGTGATCCTTAAATATATACATAATAATGATGCCAAATAATATATGAAAATAGACAATTAATTACACATGACTAAATGAGTGTTGTCTTTGGACATTAATCCAAGTATAAAAATTAGTCTCTTAAATTGCAAAAATTATACATGCATGATCCACCTTTTGGTGATCGTATAGCAATATAATCTCAATGCATTATTTTATATTATTTAGTATCCTAAAATTATAAAAAATCGATTTTACCTTTCAGATTTATTTGTCTACTAACTCTCGGCCAGACCACTTTGGTGACTAACAAGCATTATATTTATAGACAATAAATCAAATCGGCTGTAGATATGTAATTACATAAAATTTAATTATTTACAAACCGTATGAGTCAGGCCACTTTGGTGACTAACAAACTCCATATATGTAAATAACTAAATTTAAATATACATTTACTAAAATCATGACCAATTCTCTCAATTAAAATTTCTAAGTTAACCATTAAATCACTTCGGTGATTAACAACTTATTATAATATTAGAAACTTAAATGAGTGAATATAGTCGTATGTTAAATTTTACGCAATTAAATTGTTTAAATTGATTTAGTCCGATCGCTTTGGTAACCAACAAGCATTACATTTATGGACATAAATCAAATAGATCATAAAAATTTAATTATTAAACTCTTTTACGAGGTAGGCCACTTTGGTGACTAACACACTCCTTATAAGTAAATAATTAAATTTACATGTTCACCAAACATAGATTAATTAATCAAACAGATCATAAAAATTTAATTATTTAACTATCACATGAGTCAGGCCACTTTGGTGACTAACAAACTCCTTATACGCAAATAATTAAACTCAAATGTTCATTAAACGTAGATTAATTATGATCAGTTTGATCTACTCAATCAAAATTTCTAATTAACCAAACTAGTTGTATCACTTTAGTGATTAACAACTTATCTTATCATTAGAAATTTAAATGAGTACAAAAATATGAACAAAATGATCTAAATAAACTAGCCAAGCCACTTTAGTGACTAACAAGCTACCAAAATATTTAAACAATTAATTGAGTAAATAATAACAGGAGACAAAACTGATATCACATCAAATTTTATTAGTGCATAAAAGTCCCCATATAAAAATATTGGACTATTAACCGATAAGCGGAAGCATTAAATCTAAAATTAACAAAATTAAATTAAGGAATTGCCGTACCCAAATTCCATCAACTAATCACAGGATAACTCCGAACAATCCAATAAAATCAGATTCGTTGACATAATATCAAATTGATTCCTTTTAAAAATACAATTCTAAACAAGTCCAAGATTAAAGTCGTGATCCTGATGTGGATCTAAATAAAACTAACTTAGCCAAATAGGGTTAGATCACATATTTCCTAAAAACCCCAGAGCCGCTATAACTATACGCCGCAGTGCTGAGAATCAATCTCATGCGAATTGCAAATATGCACGAATCGAATTTTCATCACAAATTAGAATTGAATTTGGCAGTGCAGATAATTGTAAAAAAAGGAATGTATGAATTGTTCAAATTCAATTTATTTCTTAAAAACTAAACAAGCACTATCGAATTCAAAGCTTAAATATTGAATCGGTGATCTAGAATGGATCTAGTTCATCGTTGTACACGTAAAAGCAGCGAAACAACAATTCGGGTAACTCGATTCGGTGTTTACCAAAAAATTATCGATTATACATGTATTATGTATAATTTATGATGTCTAATCGGACTTGGCTCTGATACCAATTGTTAGATTAAATTCCAAGATCGGCATCATATAATTATACATAAACATATACTGATAAATCTGAGATTTAGGAATACCTGGATCCATGATAGATGAATGAAGTGGAATAAATCCCTTATCCCCTCTGACCTCTTTCCTTATGAGATTCTTGACAGGTAGAGATCTCTCACTAATATTGTGTTGTTATTCCATAGAAAATAAGCGTATATATAGAGGCAGAGGAGAAGGTTGGAGAACCCTAGTCCTAGACAGACTTAAACATAGGTTTAGCCTATCATTAAACTAATTAAATGTCTAGGACTATACGAACTCTATTAATAACATATAACCCCATATTAAATAATAATAATAATTAAATAAATATTCTAACATGCAAATCCTCATTACATGACATAGAAACTAAAGCATCAAGATCCTCTCCTGGAGGTTGATACTTTATAACATGACTACATGAGTAAGGTCGTAAATTAATATAGCTTTCTTCCATAACTCATGCCACGTTAATCGTTATGTCCTTATGCATACAGTGCGTGTTTCACCTCCAACATACCTGAACTTTCCATCACTTCATCGAGGTAATATTTTCCACCAAAGCAGCAAAGTGTCTTGAAACGTACTACTCAACGTACTACAGCAAGAAAGGAAAAGAAACCTCTTCGAGAAACCTCATGATTGCTAAGAAGAAGGAAATAAGGTAAAGAAATGGAAAGGAAGGTAGAAGGAACTGGTCGAAGAGAATAAATTAGTTTCGATTCTGTTAAACAACACAATCGAAATTCAATTCTGAATAACTTTGTCGAACGGGCCCAGAAGTCTGGTACAGATCGTTGTTGAGACGGTGAAGAGGAGAGCTGCCTGAGTTGTTGAGAACTATGATTCGGCTAGGTTTCTTGGTGTTGTGATATGGGAAGAACGGATCGATTTGAGACGTTCAGATATGAGAAACAAAAGACGTATACGGGAAGGGGGTAAAAGCCGTAGATCTAGTTTACTAATATCGGACGGTTGATATTCAACTTCAGGGTGGACGGGAATTAAGGAGAGGATTAGTTACCACCCCTCCACCCAAGGCTCTGGAAGTCTGGATGACCACAACTCTTAGTTGTCACATTGATAAAAAAAAAATTAATGAAATTTGACCTGATCTTAAAAAATTCAAATAAAAAACTTAATTTTATAGTCTCTCGTAGAAAGATTCTCACTTTTTTGAACGTGCCATATAAAGGTTCATATTTCTATTTTAGGAAACAATTAACAATTTTAAACGACAACTTAATCATAAATATTAAAAAAATACATTTATAACATCACAGTTATCAATACTAACCACATATACCTATTAAAATATATTGAGAAAAAATCATACATAATCATATTTTGGGAATTGTCACGAGTTTTACTCATATAGTCATATATAGGTAGTTTTCCCAATAAAAAATCCATTTGTGAAAAAGCTACTGAAAACAGATTTTTCTTTTTTTGGCTTTTTTATGTCAAACAATCAAATGAAAAAAGTTCTTTACCAACTACTAAAAATGGCTGATAGGCTGTTTACTACGTACCCCTTTGAAGTTCTTCAATAAAAAAAACCAAGAAAATAACAGAAACAGCTCCAAACTATTGGCCAAGCAGAAAGAGAGTCAGATCTCAGTTCACAGCTCATATCAGCTTTTTCATACTTCTCTCAATATTTTTTCATATAAACTCCCTTGCATTATGAAAGCAGCGTTTCCGCAATTTGATTGCATGAATTTTGAGAAGGTTCCCTGGATATTACAAACGAGGCACTTAAAGAAGAAGCTTGTCAGACACTGGTTGACATCAATTTAGTTTGTTTTTTGAAGATCTCTGAAGAGGCTTTGCCACAGGTCTTGCTGGTGCAGCACCTCTCATAACCCTCTTGATGTCATACTTCACAGACAGGAATGAACAAACCAAGGCAATCAACATTGTTGGGTAAACATACACTGCTTTTGCAGGATTAGGGTTTGCTTGTTTGTTAAGGATGCCTTCCTTTATTAGGCCCCAAATGACAAGTAGTGTTCCAAACATGCTCATTCTTCCAGACTTTATGATGCCAATGAGAGCACCTGCTACAGAGAAATAGCTTCCGGCAAGAACCTATGTGACATGACAACAAGAGATATCAATATGAGGGTGGACAACCAACATAAAAAAAACAGTGGCACGGTGTGTTGTAAATTTGATTAAAATGTCAAGCAAGACAAATGAAATTACAGATACATTTGAAATTGGCTCATAAAGAATCTCCATGAAATTTGTATCTTACCCATAGAGATTTTTTCAACCTCTGTTATGGAAACACAACAAACCATTCTCTTACATGTGGGCAGTGGAAAAGAAAACAAGATTGATTTGTTCTGATTTTAAGCTCAGTCAATTGTGGTATCAAAACGGTGTTTGTACTCTCTCCCCTTTCCCCCTTCTTATTTTTATATTAGAAGCCTCTGGATGAAGGTTACAATGCTTGTCCTCTTAAAGCACATAAACCCACACACCAGTGCAAGCACATGAAGAAACATATTAAAATGATATTGCTCTAGGTTCTAAAATTTAGGATTACTGATGTGTAACAATTAATAAAAATCCAAATTTAACAAGCAAGGATGCTAAGTCAATATTCCGCATATGAGATTATTAGATTAATAAGGTCTGTCAATCTACTTTGTGGGTGAACATTCAATGGTATATAATTTGAGAGTATCATTTCATCATAATACAACTAGCTGCATATGGAACACATTAGTACTCGATTAGATAAAAGCAGGATGGTATTCACATTTGCATTAATGTAGAGTTTAGACTGACATAAAGTAAGAAGATTGAGGATATAAAACTAGAAGAGGCGGTAAGGACTTCTGTGGAAAACCTCCAAGCGCTGTAGGTCTGTTACTGGGGAAGCTTCCTTTATGTTATTCAGATTGTACATGTTTAGCAAATTGTCCCAACTAGGAACAGTCATATTCTTGATTAAGCTATTTATGATTGCCCCAGGGTAGAGGAGGGCCTTCACAATTGGAACGGGAAATATGTCACTTGCAATCAACTGGGAAGATGTGACATGCATTGGTGTTGAGCACATACCAGATCTACATGGAACCCTGAAAAGTATATAATGCAAAATATACAGAATCAGCGGAAATGAGGAAGCGGTCCAGCCCAGCTGGTCGCCGGCTCACTCTCCCTTATGGGACGTCCCGGGTTCAATTCTCAATGGAGTAAGATTGATCCAAGTTTACCCCAGGCCCCCCAAACCCCCTCCCCCTGACGTCCCCTGGGGTAAAAACTTTAAAAAAAAAAAAAAAAAAGAATCGGCGGAAATAAGTAAATCAAATGTGAAAACACTTAGCACCTACTTCTGTACTAGAATACAAACATTACAAAATTGATGCTTATAGTAATATTGCAAGGCATTGGATAGAAATCTGAAGGCATAATGTGGCTCAGCAGCTTAACCATTCTTACGAAGGACACATTACTTGAAGTAAGAAAGTTATAAATGGCAAATGCTTTTGCGTAGAAACATTCAACTTTAACACCAGATATGCATCTAGTTATTAAGGTTAGTTCTCTTCAATAGACCACCACCAAATCCAGTCTTAGTCTCTTAGACAGTTCAAGCCTACTGGATGATTATCTTGGATAAGGATCAAGGACTAGGGATAAATTCAGCTTATGTCTAAGTGTAGCTAAGCTAGATATAACACATTGATGAGAAAACATGACCTAATCCTCATGTATGTAGCTTCCAACAAACACATTTCCATTAGTACATGGCTTCTAATTGACGGAAGCAGCGCACATTCTATATCTGACAGGAATATAATTTTACATGGAAGTTGAGAAATTGTTTCAAATGAAGTGTTAGCGTAGATCATTGCCCCTCCACCCTCACCCCACACTTTTTAAGTGTAAACTTACATTCTTACTATCAACTTCTCTATATATCACATAAAGCTCCCACTTTGGTACCATAAATTGTGGGCTTTGAGGAAGAACAAAATCATAATCCCATCATCCCATGCATATACATAATAGGGACCCATTCATGGGCCTGGTTTACCACTGCAGATGATCTGAGTATGGGCTGGCCATAAAGGCTAGTTGTGCTGATCAGCTGATTAAGTTTGTTTAACTAAGCCATTATTAGACACTATTGTTCTTAGTATGATACTATGATTAGTCATTTTATTATTAAAGTTCAATTTCTTCGGAACTCTTTCCTTTTAGCTTTGGGATATTTTTGCTATGGCCTTGTTTGGAAAATAGCTAATCAACCCATTTTTGGCTTCTTTGACTATAGTTAATTTTATTGACCATTGAAGCAGTAAATTACTGTTTGGTAAATGGATTGTTGGATCAGCTTATTATACCCAATCAGCTCAAATTGGACACTCTGTGGTGGGGAGCGTTTACAATCGGCCTCTCCATTTTCTTCCCTTGTGCTCTCCCTTAAATATATATGTTCTCTCTCTCTCTCTCTCTCTCTCTCTCTATGCATCCCCTGTATGGACAGGTATATACGGAGTATATTGGAAGAGCCACCGAAGAAGGATATATCTGTTTATGCGAGCTATGTAGTCTTATTTATTTATTGATCCACTTAATAAGTTGCTCTAATACTCTGGAAGCATTCAATATTGAATATTTGGTTTGCTGTGAATCCTTTTGCATTATTATGTCAATTATTTTATGATAAACACTTTGACACTTCTTCATATTTATTGGTACTAGTGCTATTCTGTAATTTGAATTCATGTTATTCAAATCAAATTATCAAAATAAATCTTTTACTCCGTATATATTTATTGTATTGGCCATATACAGTTGTACTACTCATTTATCATTTTTTATAATTTCTGAAATACAAATGGTTGATACTATGTAAGTAAATGTAGTTAACATTGTTTTTATAAGCAATAGTGAAAAAAAATACATATTAATGTCCTTATTCGTCATTTTACACTTGAACAACTATTCTTAAACAACTAATTAACTAAACAGCAATTGTCAATAAGCTAACATAATCAGCAAACCAAAACAACTAACATAATCAGTCAACCAAAATAGCTAACACAACCAGCTATTACCAAATCGCTATGATAACCAGCTAACAACCGATTGCCAAACAAATAAAGTTATCTTTTTGGAAGTTAATTTGTTTGCCTGCGACTTAGAACCAGCGAATATCTTCATTGCCTAGAGCATGAGGTTGGTTAACACAAAAACCACCACAGCCGAGTTTCCTACCCTTCTGGCCGTTTATCCGTCCCTGGATACGTTAACAGTCAGCCAGTCTGCTCAATAACCCTTCAGTCTTAAACACTGATTGTTTTATCTACACCATTTTTCTACCCATTTGATGCAACTTAACCTGTTGATGAGTCAAGTATGCCGGCCCCTTCAAATGAAATCAATTTTCCTTTTTCACACGAAGTACAAATAGCTTGTCATCTAATGCATACCCCTGGACAAACTAAAATCTTGAACTATCAATTAATTTTTACACCCACCATAATTTACACACGCTCTATAAAGAACCAGAATATATAAAGTTCCATATCATTAACAACATCGACTAGGAAACACCCACAGAAAGCTTGAATAAACCTGTAAACAATCCTTACTAAATTACCTTTCGAGCTATTTTTTCCGTTTTCTGCTATACTACCTTAATGTTTAATTTAAAATGGCAAGCTAATTTAGCAAAACAGAACTTAACCGGACTTTGAATACATGATACATATCGAAAGAGTCGGAAATGGAGAACAAATAGCGGATCCCAAGGCAGAGTGGCATCTAAACCTGTTTCTAGTTTTTGTATACCTGAAAAGTGGTATCTGAAGGATTATGAGAAAAAAATAGATGCGAGATGCGTAGGCTGAAAGTTTGTTCCATCGGAATTTTGATGAGGACGGCAACACTGTAGAGCTCACAGTGGCCATTTCGAATTCAGACGGTTCACCTCGGCGGTCAGAGACGGGCGAAAACCGGCGGCAGGGCGAGTTTCCTAAGAGGGAAACCGAACTGGCTATACAATTCTTCTATACGCATCCAATCCAACTGCCACTATTTGATTGTCAACAAAAATTAGCCAAATTAGGCAAGCAATGTTCTAGTTTTTCTAATCAGGAGATTGGATACTCATACTCCGTATAAAACAAAGCATTCTTTGCCATAAAGTGTATAAAACTAGTTTTTTTTCGAATTAATGTTAGTTAATTAATTAATTAATTACGAAAATAATGCTGGGAAAAAAGTTATTACCGATCTATTGCTGGACTTAACCATGATTAGGGGTAAGTCGCCCAACCGTTGGGCGACTTACACCTGATATATGATCGTGCGTACCCTGGGACGCACGATCGTGCCTAGGTCCGAAAACAACATTTTAACAGGTTTTTCGCCCCAGTTCAACCCGGACTCATCTGTTTGCTATAAATAAGGTCTCTCTTCTCCTGTTTAAGTATTACGAGCCTGATACAACACATTATAAAAACTTACAACACACGTCTTCACAATCACATACATAACACCTAATCTCAACAACATAAAAAACACCTTGTAAATACCCTTTACAAATCAAATACAAAACCTTACATTCATAGCCGGTATAATACAGTACAATCATCCAATATTCATAACAAGTAATCATCTAATATTCATACTCGAACACATCAAGACAACATACAAGAGTTTACAAGAGAAAATACGTAAAATGTTGTAAATTGTTCCTACAACATCTACTGTATAAGAAAAACTGCAATACAAAAGACAAACTGCAAATTCTCATCGTCAGCTTGGTCTTGGAGATGTTGCTGCTCATGTCTACGCCTACGCTGTTGTCGTGGTTGAAGAACCACTCTCTCATGCTGTCTCGGATGATGAAGCCGCCGCTACACTAGACATGGATGGCATCTCCTGAGATGGGGGCATGTGTATAAGAGGCCTATAGTCGACTTGCCCCAACACATCTGAACACAAGGAGGCAATGTCTGTCAGAGCCTGTCCATACATGTCCACATCATGAGTATCAGTCACAGTGGCAGTAGCCCGCTAATGTATGCGCTGCAAAGCTCGTGTCTGAAATATGAAACACAATTACAATTACACTGAAATACATACAAGTATTACATAAATAAATTGACTTACTTTACTAATTACTAATATACTCACTGTAAGATGCAAAGCCAAGGAGCTAGGCTGATAATGATGAGTAGGGAGTCTGAACGAAGGAGACATAAACAAACGAGTGATGTTGTAATATCATCCCATTTAGTCTCCTGAAACAGATGGGACAAATGTCGGTGTCCCAGCCACAACTAGCTCAGCTCGCCTTTCCCACATAGTGACGTATCGGACATGTCTGAGTGCCTAATCCTCTGTATGCTTCCCATGCCTATCCAGCCTATGCAACTCAACATAAGTGTCGATAGGCCGTGGAATGACCTGCTCAAACCCAAACTATCGCAAGACTCTATCAGGCAAATGAAGCTCAATAATGTCAAAACATATCAACGGCACACGTGCTCGCCATATGTGACTATGCTCTCGTCCAGCTGGGGGCAACTCTGCAAACATCTCAGGTGTATACGGCATCCATGTAATCTAATTCATAAAGATACAAAATTAGTATTTATTCAATACATATTATAGTTAATGTTATATTACCCACACCATACCTGATCCTCAGGCATCCGATCAAATGCATCCTTGTACACACCGAGCCTAGTAGCCATCTAACCATTCGTGTAACAATATCATTAATATGGATATTATTAATGTATTTACATTAAACATACAATCACATAAATGCCAACGATTGAAAACATACCGACGGCCTAGAGGGTCCTCGCCCCGTACGTGATGCGGTCCTAGAACACCTGTAGGCTCACCAGACAGTGGGTGTCCATCAATGCCATGATATGCGACTACAATGAGATGCTCAATGTGGATATACTCCCATGACCAAATCTGGAGGAGTAGCAAAAATCCCCCAAGCTCTGTGCTCCCTCTCTGGCAGCCACGACACAGCTGTCTGTACAGATAAGCGAGTGTGGCACTACCTAGCTGAACTGTGCTGCTACATCAAACCTCTCTAGCATAGGCAAGTGAAACACCTAAATCTCATTTCCGCTCTTGTTAGCGAAAATGGAAGCTCCCATCAGCATCAAGATATATGCCCGGGCGTGCTGCTGAATCATCACCTCATCAGCGTCCGGAGGAAGCACCTGGAAGTGCTCCCTCAACCATGGCATCCTCAGAGATGACCCCTGAAGGTCAGTCCTAAGAACGGGGCAGATACCTAACAACCGCTCACACTCATCTACCCACTGTCGACAAGCAGTGCCTATAACAGCTCTCCCATCAACCTCTAACCTAGTAAGTACAACAACATCTCCCAATGTCACTGTCACCTCACCAACAGGGAGGTGAAATGAGTGTGTCTCCGGCCTCCAACGCTCAAGTAGAGCAGTGAGAAGCGCTTTATCTAGAGGCACAGTAGCCACTAATCTGTGCAGAATATAAAAACCCGCAGCACGAACATATGCTAGTACCCTGTCGTCGACGTGCAAATGCGACAAACCCCGCAGGTGCTCGCGGCACTTATCCAGGTTGCCTTTGTTCTTTGTGGCACGTATTCTCCAGGGGCAATCACATTCTTTCTTCCTTTTGCATTGTGTCACCCATTCGTGTTTATCAGACTCTATCACCCGATAAAATTGGTTTCGTTTGATAGAATACAAGCTCACCATATTGATGACTTGTTCTTTGTTGTCAAACTGTTGACCGACCTCAAACTCCCCATCGAGGGGTAAACCTTTTCTCACCTGATCCACTCATCCACGCATCAGTAAAGCCTTCAGAGAGATCATACATTCTAGTAAAGTGGATAGATGGGGCAGTTGCCGTGACAGTATCACCATCATCTTCATCAGATACTGTCATGTCATCACCATTGATGTTCTCGTCAGCATCATCATCACTTCCCTGCTCATCCACAAGTGATGCACCGTTGTGCAAATACCTACCATCTTCCTGTACAACCATGCCCAGTACAAGAGCCTTTGAGGAGTTCCCTGCATTCACCCCTGCTTTGACATCATGCCTAGATACAACATCATTTGATGTTGATTGAGTACCATAAGTGTCACAGGATTCCTCAATGTATATCTCCAGCGTCGACATATCCTCCATCTGAATTACGCCCCCCATATCTGTTATAGCTAGCTCATTGTAAGGAATAAATGTAATTAGATTTTGATGATGCTATAGGATTAGAATTTTAAAGTACCCCCAAATTAGATTTTATGTATTAGAATTTTCAGTTGTAAGTATTAGTGTAGTCGACGATCAGAGTTGCTCTATTTTGGATCAGATCAGAAGTGCATCAGAACTGCTCGACCAGACTTGCTCTCTGTGAGAAGTGCTCCATCAGAGTTCTCTTACCAGAAGTCCATCAGAGTTGCATCATGAGAGTTGCTGATAAGCCTGGACATCTGATAGCCGATGAGAACTACAGATCAGAAGTACTCATCAGCGGACCTATCAGAGTCAGAGTTCAGTCAGAGATCAGAACTCCATCAGAACTCAACTCATCAGAAAGCCATCAGAATCCAACATATCAGAAGAGCCTGATCAGAGCCCGACGAACACTTAGAAAAATCTCAAGCAACATCCAACAGCTCTGAATTCAACGGGTAAAAACATCCAACGGCTACAAGACTGTGCATGAAAGGAAAGCATTTAATGCACATTAAAAGAGCCTGATACGCTGAAGGATTGATTGCAAATGATTGACCAAGAAATCCGGGAAGATATATTTTAAAAATAGAAACCTTCCAAAAACGGCGGTCAAGTCAACTGTACGCGCATTTAATGCAGTTGTCTCCTCCTCCAACGGGCAGACAACCTCAGTATATAAGCTACACACCGAAGAACTGGAAAATAACTTTGCTACAACTTTTGCTCATCATCATTCAAGCTTTCTTAAGATTCAAATTCTACAAACTTCAAAAAGACAAGCTTAAGTTGGGAAGATTCAAACTCCAAATCTCTCATCCCCAACAATCAAGCAAAGTTCATCCTGTTCTTCAACACTTCAAGAACTTCATCAAACATCCTTTGTAACGAAGCAAGTTGGAGGAAAAACTCTGTTTTTCAAAAGGATCTTCTGAAAAGAAGGGCGTCCAAGTAACTGCAGTAGTGAAGTGGTGATACTTCCGGGAAGCTGAGTGAAAGGATCAGCCATCAGGACGTGGAATTGCATCCTGGGTGGCATCTAGGCTTGAAGAAGACGAGGAGTGCTTCTTAAGTGCTAGGAATTAGCTTTGTAACTGATCTACTTCAAAGCTAGTGGAACAGTGGACTAGAGGAACGAGTTGTTCCTTGAACCACTATAAAAATATCCGGTGTCATTTACTTTACTGCAATTTATAATTCTGCACTTAGGACATTAACTGATTAACTCTAAGACTTGGAATCTGTGTTCAGCAGATCTTGTCTTCAGAGTTATCAGAAAGGCATTTGCCTTAGTGTTTCTGAGGCTACCCGGACAGATCAGGATCCGCTGCCAAGGCCAGTTCTGATATCAGAACCAGCCTTTCTCTGTCACCAGAATCAGACATTCCCTGATAAGTCATTTTGGACTTAGAGAAAATTTGAAAAACCAATCAGTCTATTCACCCCCCCCCCCCCTCTAGACTGATTACCATATTAATCGGGACCAACAAGTGGTATCAGAGCCTGCTTGTTCTTGTAATCTTTTAAGTTACTCTCTGAACAAAGATCCACTTGTTCTTAGCCTCTATTTATTTGGTATTATGGATAACTCTCTTGCAAAGCATCTCATGTTTACAGACCAGAAGTATGATGATTGGAAGATCAGGATGAAGGCTCATCTATGCGCCTTACATGATGAAATGTGGGAAGTCTTGGAGAATGGCCCCTTTATCCAGTTCATGAAGATCAATCCTGCTCACTCTATTGATAACTCTCAGCCCCAAATGATTGAGAAAGCCCGGTCTGAATGGACCAAGGAAGAGAAAAGACAGTACAACCTTGACAACATTGCCAAGGACATTCTCTACAAAGCTATTGATGAAAGATATTTCAATAGAATAAAGAAGTGCAGGACTGCTAAGGAAATCTGGGACAAGCTGGATGAGATTGGAGCAGGAGATGAACAAGAAAGAGATAACAAGTTGACCATTGCTATGAAGAAGTTTGATGACTTCAAACTTCTGCCAGAAGAATGCATTGCTAAGATGCATGAGAGACTGCTGATTCTTATCAGTGAGATTTCTGAGCTTGGGAAGGAGCTCACCATCAAAGAGGTCAACATGAAGATTCTCAGGGGACTGCCTTCGGCTTGGAAGATGAAGGTGATTGCTGTCCAGGAAAGCAAGAATATCAAAACCTATGCCACTGAGAAACTCATTTCTGATCTCAAAGCTTATGAGTTTGAGATGCATGAAGAAAAGGAGGAAGCTCCTGATGAAAGGACCACCACTGCTCTCACTGCCAGCACCTCAAAGGTAAGTGACTTTGACCCTTCTACTCTTTTATCTGATGAGTATATGGCTGCTTTTGCCAGGAAGTTTAAGAAGTTTATGAAGAAAGATGGAAGGAGTCCATCTTCCATCAGAAGACCACATCAGAAGACCAAGTCTTCTGAAAGCAGTGGAGAGTACCTCTGCTACAACTGCAGACAACCTGGGCACTTCAAAGCAAACTGCCCTTATCCAAGAGTGTCCAAGAAGCAAGGACATGAAGAAGAAAAGAAACCAGATGATCAACACAGAAGAAGAAGAGCATTTGTCTCAGAACAAGCTGAGAGAGATCCACTCTCTGAATCAGAGTCCAGTTCAGACTCCGACTCTGATGAAGCATTCTGCTGCTTGGATGCAGAGACTGAAGACCTTTGCCTCATGGCACAATCAGATGATGAGGTATGTTCTACAACTGATTCTATTTCTTCTTCGGTAGGCACAGCCTTAAATGATGATCCAATGTCATCATTTTGGGAAGAGTTCAAGACTATCCAAGGATCTTATTCCTTTATTAAAGAAGAGAACAGTAAGCTGAAAGCTGAAAATGAGTCCCTTCTAAAGAGAATAAGAGAAATTGAACATCTTGAAGTCAGATACAATAGCCTTCTGAAGATGCAATCTTCTATGAAGGGTATCAATGACTTTCACAACTCTACCCCTGGTCTTGGATATGTTGAACCAGAGTCTGGTGAGCCTTCTGAAAGGCCTAGCACCAAAGTTGCTAAAGCTAAAAAGGTCATAGTGCCACAGACTCTGAGCCCCAATTGTCATGCTAGTACTTCTGGTACTAAAGTTGTTCATGAGAAGGTCATACCAGAGAAACAAACTCTAAAGGCCAAACCAAAACACAGTTTGAAAACTAATGAACCTGGCAGAAATTCTAACAAAAGGAAGAGTTTTCAGAAAAATAATAATCAAAGGCCTAATCCGATCAGACAATCTCATGACAATGGTATCAGAAACTGCTATCAGAAAGGCAAATATCAAGAGAAGATTAACTATAGGCAGAAGAGGTTGTCTGGTCAACCTCAGAAGCCTAAAGTTAAGCGCTCCTCTGATCTTGATAGTATATGGGACTTCTTTCCAACAAAGAAGGCTATGCAGAAGTATGCAAACAGAAAGCATGATCCTCACAAGCATCTGCCCAAAGTGAATCATACATCTGTTTACTACAACTACCAGGTGGACAATGGGTACCATCCACCAAGGTTTCAGTTGATGAGACCAAAATGGTACCAACTACCAAGACTACATTACCCCCCAGGACCCAACATTGCTTGGGTACCTAAATCTTCCTTTTAATCTTGCAGGAACTGTGTGCTGGAGCCATCTCAGAACAAGAATGGTATATTGACAGTGGATGCTCCAGGCACATGACAGGTGACAAGAGTTGCCTATCAGAGTTCCAGAAAATCAATGGACCCAGAGTCACTTTCGGTGGAAATGACAAGGAAGGGCAAACAAAAGGAAGAGGCAAACTGATCAAGAAACAGATAATCATTGAAGATGTCTCATATGTCAAAGGTCTAAAGTTCAACTTGCTGAGTGCTAGCCAATTTTGTGACAAAGGCTACACAGTTGAATTCACCAAGACCTTATGCTATGTCAAGCATGAGACAACCAAAGAAGTGGTTCTTACAGCCAAGAGAAGGAAGAACATCTATGTTGTTGACTGGCAAACAGCAAAAGATGGAACTTGTCTGATAGCAAAAGACAATTCAAAGCTAGGCTGGGACTGGCACAAGAAGCTTAGCCATCTGAATTTCAAAACCATCAACAAACTGGCAAGGGAACACATTGTAGATGGTCTACCTGACATTGTTTACAAGAAGGAGACCCTCTGCAGTGCTTGTCAGAAAGGCAAACAAGTGAAGACCTCATTCAAACCCATAGCTGGAGATCTTTCTACTTGTCCTCTAAATCTGATCCACATGGATTTATTTGGACCAGTTGAAACTCCCAGTGTTGGTGGAAAAAGATATACTCTTGTTATGGTTGATGATTACTCAAGATATACTTGGACTGTGTTCCTAACCAAGAAGAATGAAACTCTTCAGAAGTTGCCATCTCTGCTAAAGCAACTCCAAACTGAGAAAAATATGAAGGTCAGAACAATCAGATCTGACAGAGGAACTGAATTTGTCAACAAGGTAATCAAGGACTTCTGTGATCAGAATGGCACATTCCATCAACTTTCTGCTGCCAGAACACCCCAACAAAATGGTGTTGCAGAAAGAAGGAACAGAACACTGAAAGAAGCTGCAAGAACTATGATTGCAGAATCAGGACTGCCCATCAGATACTGGGCTGAAGCTATCAACACTGCATGCTACACCCAAAACAGGAGCATGATCCACAAGAATCATCAGAAGACCCCCTACGAGCTGTGGAAAGGAAGAAAGCCAAACATCAGCTACTTCCATGTGTTTGGATGCAAGTGCTATATTCTAAACAATGGAAAGGAGAACCTGAAAGTATTTCAAGAAAAAGCTGATGAAGGTGTATTCTTAGGCTACTCAAGTTCAAGCAGAGCCTATAGAATACTTAACAGGAGATCTCTACAAGTTGAAGAATCCATTCATGTCAAATTTGATGATGGTACCTCTGCAGAAGAATTATCAGAAACCCTGCAGAAAATCAACCTTGAAGACAAAAGTTCAGAACCATCAGAAGAGGCCACCAACAATCCTATATTCTCAACTCCTCCTACCAATCCGGTTCTGATAGACAAAGATGAAGATAAAGATGATGTATCAGAAGATGAACCATCAGAGTTGCCTAGACAGCAACTGACAGAACCTGATCTAACTTGGTTAAGAGATCATCCTCCTAATCAAGTGATAGGTCAAGTTACCAGTGGTGTCAGGACCAGATCTGCATCAAGAAGAGAAGCCATGTTCACCTGCTGCATATCCCAGATGGAACCAATGTGTGTAGAAGAAGCTCTAGAAGATTCAGATTGGATCAATGCAATGCAAGAAGAGCTGACACAGTTTGAAAGGAATGAAGTGTGGAAACTTGTTCCCAGACCAAAGCATCAGAATGTCATTGGAACCAAGTGGGTATTCAAGAACAAAGCAGATGAAGAAGGCAACATTGTAAGGAATAAAGCAAGGCTTGTAGCTAAGGGATACTGTCAAGAAGAAGGCATAGATTTTGATGAGACCTTTGCACCTGTTGCAAGACTAGAAGCAATCAGGATTTTTCTAGCCTATGCTGCCTACAATGACATCAAAGTCTACCAGATGGATGTCAAGAGTGCATTCCTGAATGGAGAATTGGAAGAGGAAGTCTATGTTGAACAACCTCCAGGTTTTGTCATTCCTACTCAATCTTCTTGTGTCTACAAGCTCAGAAAGGCCCTCTATGGTCTTAAGCAAGCTCCCAGAGCTTGGTATGACACATTGTCCCTATTCTTAGTAAACCATGGGTTTACTAAAGGAAAGGTGGACAAAACTCTATTTCAAATTTCTGTTGCTAATCATATTCTGTTAGTGCAAATTTATGTTGATGATATTATATTTGGAAGCACTAATCCAGAATTATGCAAGAAATTTTCTCAAGTTATGCAGAAGAAGTTTGAAATGAGCATGATGGGAGAACTCAGTTACTTTCTTGGATTACAAGTCAAACAAGTACCAGAAGGCATCTTTATCAACCAAGGAAAGTACACCAGAGATCTCATCAAGAAGTTTGGAGTAGATGGAAAATCTTCAGTCAAGATTCCAATGAATGCATCTCAAGGCATTGGACCAGATGATGAAGGCAAAGATGTTGATGCAACAACTTATAGAGGAATCATTGGATCTCTCCTCTATCTGACTGCAAGTAGACCAGACATAGCTTTTGCAGTAGGAATCTGTGCCAGATACCAATCAAAGCCCAAGGAGAGCCATCTAGTTGCTGCTAAGAAGATTATCAGATATATCAAAGGAAATCCAAATGCAGGCCTATGGTATCCCAAGGGAGGTAACTTTGAACTAATTGGTTACTCTGATTCAGACTTTGCAGGTTGCAGATTAGACAGGAAGAGCACTTCCGGTCATTGTCAATTGCTAGGTGGGAGACTTGTCTCCTGGTTTAGCAAGAAGCAGAATTCAATCTCAACTAGCACTGCTGAAGCTGAATACATTGCTGCTGGAAGCTGCTGTGCTCAATTGCTCTGGATGAAGCAACAACTCAAGGATTATGGAGTGCAAGCAAAGAAGATCAAGCTGTTATGTGATAACACAAGTGCTATTGCCATCACTCAGAATCCTGTGCTGCATTCAAGGACAAAGCATATCGAGATCAGACATCACTTCATCAGAGATCATGTGGAGAAGAAGCACATTTCAATTGAGCATGTCCCAACTGAAGACCAGCTTGCAGACATCTTAACCAAACCTCTCTCAGAGGCAAGGTTCAACAAGCTAAGGGAAGAATTGGGAATGATGGATGATCTTCC